GTTGGATACTCCTGCCAGTTTGGCGTCATATGCAAATTTGATGAGTTTCCCTTCAATTCCCTCATCTAAGTCATTGATGAAGATATTGAATAGGCTTCCCTCAAGTCCAGTGTCATGGTTCCAATAGACAGAGATGAATAAAGCAGAACTCTAAGGCTTGCAGATTCCTCAAAGAACATGTTTATTAGTTACAAAGTATCAGCACGGTCAAAAGTGAAACCAAGTCTGAATACACAAGTAACAGTTGCCCAATTACAAAGTTAAATGTCCCACCCACAAAACTATGCAAGCAACTACGTCCCCCAATATACTCATTTGGCGGGCTTTTTATGCAACGCCCAGTCCCTACCCATGGGAGCAGCAGATGACCTTGGTTCCCACAGGACAGAAGATTATTTTAACTAACGAAGCACCTGGGCAATCCTCCTTCCGTTCTATGTGGAAACCTAGAATGAGAAGAAAAAAATGGCTGCAGCCATGCTCATTTGTAGAGTTGACAGTCAGCCCCTCTCAAAAGGAAAGAGTATCCTGTATTCCCATACACAAAAACATAACAAAAAGCATGTTAAGTATTTCCTCAAGGCTTGTGAGGATATTTATCATAAAACTTTTTTATTAACCTTTCTGCTTTCACATGTATACATTTCACCCACGTAGCTTCTGACAGTGGATAGCCTTTCCACTGAATGAGGTATTGTAACTTCCCCTTTTATAACCTATAATCAAGAATTCATTTTATTTCATAATGTGTCTCCTCCTCCACCACTACTGGACCTGGCAGCTTCTTTGGAATAGGTCTTAAAGAGGATTTAGACACAATGAAACACAGGATGGACTTTTCCCAACAGTCATGCAAGATTCAGTTCCACTGTAACAAGGTTTATGATTTTTGTGATGGGAAAAGGACCAAGAAACTTTGGCCCCAATTTTCTGCTGGGTAACTTTAACCTTAAATATTTTGTTGAAAGATAAACCAATTGCCCAACATAAAAGAGTTTTTGAGGGGAGCGTCTTTTATCTGCCTGCTCTTTGTAGACCTTAGTAGCCTTGGTCAAAGCTTTCTTCACATTCACCCAAACCCCCTAGAACAGTGATGGCAAACCTTTTAGAGACCAAGTGCCCAAAAACTGGCCCCGCCCCTGCTCCACCCCCCCCTGCCTGCCCCCGCTCTGCCTGCAGATCGCCCAGGCAGCCCAACAGCCCTATGGCAGCCACGCCCTCTGCCCGCGCCCTGCAGCATCAACTGCATGATGGGGCATGAGGGCAGAGTTGTCTACACTGCCTGGCTGCCATGTCCTTGGCTGTGCTGCTCCGTGTGGGCCACACTCAAGGGTGAGTCTCCTTCAGGGGGACTGCTGGAGAGGAGGGGGTCGTGGGGGGAGGCAAGGCTGGGGCAACGGCACATGTACCCACAGAGAGGGCTCCGAGTGCCGCCTCTGGCACCCGTGCCATAGGTTCGCCACCACTGCCCTAGAAAGACGTCACCCATTAATCCAAAGTCTGGGAAGTAGGAGGCTTTTGGTGGTACTCAAGCATAGGCACAAAATCCTGACCCGTTACTATTTTAAATGGGGCGAGACCAGTGCTGCTGTGCACAGTATTATTGTAGACTACCTCCGCAAAAGGCAGGTCAGCCCAATTAGTCTGAATAATTAACATAGCATTAGAGGTACTGTTCCACCATTGCATTAGCTTTTTAGCCGCTCCATTCATCCTCAAATGAAAAGCTGATGAAAGCCCCTGAGCCGACCCAATCAGTTTAATGAACTCCCTCCAGAACTTTACAGTAAACTGGACCCCCCCGTCAGAGATTATTTCAGAAACAGCTGCGATCACACATTACTCCTAGAAGCACGAAGCTGAAAACACCAGCCTGAAGATGACGAATCGGACTTCGTTGAAACGTCGCCAAGACACTTCCAATTTTACGCAGGAGAAAACCCGAATAACCAAAGACCTACATACAAACACCCGCGAAAACCTCAGAAAACAAATATAAATATAATATAATATAATAAAATATAATAAAAAATAAAAAATGAAGTAATTGGTGGACACACACACACATATACATACATACATATATATATACACATACATATATATATACATACATATATATTTGTTTTCTGAGGTTTTCGCGGGTGTTTGTATGTAGGTCTTTAGTTATTCGGGTTTTCTCCCACGTAGAATTAGAAGTGTCTTGGCGACGTTTTGACGAAGTCACATTCGTCATCTTCAGGCTGGTGTCTTCAGCTTCGTGCTCCTGGGAGTAGTGTGCGATCGCAGCTNGGTATCATCTCGTTTATTCATGCTGTGTGGGCGTTTTTCTATCTCGATGGCTTCTCTGATTATTCTGTTGTTAAAGTGTTCAGTTTTGGCAATAGTTCTGGTCTTTTTAAAGTCAATTTTATGTCCTGTGGCTTTAAGGTGTTGGACCAGGGAAGAGGTTGGTTCCTCTTTTCTGACTGAGTTCTTGTGTTCTTCAATGAGTGCATTTATTCTTCTGTTGGTTTGTCCGATGTATGTGGTGGGGCAGGCGGTGCATGGGATTTCATATACTCCTTGATTTTCTAACTCAATTTTGTCTTTGGGGTTTCTTAGGATGGTGGATATTTTTCGGTTTGTGCAGAATGCTGTCTTGATGTTGTGTTTGTGGTGATTTCGAGTCTGATTCTGTTAGCATCGTCGGGGTTGATTTTGCTCAGGCTGGTTTCAACTCCGCATATAATGGTTTCAGTGGGGATGTGTTTGGGAGCTTCCATTTTATGTGACCTCGCATTCCTACGCAACTGCCGAGATCAAAATTTAACCCCCAAATGCTTCCAATTGAAATTCCACTCCAACTCTGCAGCCACCAAACACATCCTGAAAAGAACAGAATTGGCCCTAATCAGAAATGAACTTCACACAAAAAGATTCCTCCTAGACCAAATCAACAAAGATCTCCTCACACTTCATCTCAAACTCAGCAACAAGATCCACCCCGCACTTTGGGACAAATCCAAACAACTTGCCGTCTGGAGAACTGAAACACAGACCACCCTCAAGACAGACACACACACCAACAAACTTCGAAGACTACAAGAACGCCAGAAACAAACCCCTCCTCCCTCACATCCACACATGAAACAAACAGTGCATAACATCTCAGATAGGATCCTCACCAAAGCTGAAACCAATGTCCTTTCCAAAGGATTCAACTTTGCAATCGCTCCCAAACACATCCCCACTGAAACCATTATATGCGGAGTTGAAACCAGCCTGACCAAAATCAACCCCAATGATGCTAACAGAATCAGACTCGAAATCACCAACATCTTTTGCACCAGCAAGCCACCCAAAAGCAACTTACCCAAAGAGGAACAGACAGCACTACTTAACCTGAAAGAAGATACCAGCATAATAATCCTACCAGCAAACAAGGGCAACGCCACAGTGGTTATGAACACATCTGACTACCAAACCAAATTAACCAACCTACTCCAAGACTCCACATACAAACCCCTAAACACAGATCCCACCACCTATCTGGAAAAAACCACTAGATCCAAAATAAAAGCCTCCCCCATCAGTGAAGAGATTCAGCAAAGAATCATTCCCAGAGAGAAATCATCCAGNCCCCCATCCAATCAGAGCACAGCCAAGCTCCTTAACCAATCAGAACACACCTCCACCCAATCAGAACACAGCCAAGCTCCCACCCAATCAGCTCAAACCCCACTGGCAGTTAAAAGGAAGAAACAGCTGCGATCGCACACTACTCCCAGGAGCACGAAGCTGAAGACACCAGCCTGAAGATGACGAATGTGACTTCGTCGAAACGTCGCCAAGACACTTCTAATTCTATGTGGGAGAAAACCCGAATAACTAAAGACCTACATACATATATATATATACATACACATACACACACACACACGCACACACACACATACATACATACAATGCAATAGTAGAGGTAACAAATTCAAAACAGAGAGAGGGGTACCACAAGAAACAACAGTGGATGATGGAGGAAATTCTTCATCTCATGGATGAAAGAAGATCTTATAAAAATAAAAACAAAGAAAAATACAATGAACTGCAGAAAACAATTAGAAGAAAAATTTGACTGGCAAAAGAAAAGTGGTTTGCAAAGAGATGCAAGGAAATAGAAGAGACAGAATGTATACATGATAATTTCAGTTTACACAAAAAAGTGAAAGAAGCAGCAGGCCTCTACAAAAAGAAAACCAACAACTTAGTTGACAAAGAGGGGAAAATTATCTTAGATGAGGATGAAAAACTAAAAAGATGGAAGGAATATATTGAAGAACTTTTTGAGGACACTAGGGATGATATAGATATGGGAAGTATAAAAACTGGACCAAATATCACTATGGAAGAGGTTGAACATGCAATAAAAATAGCAAAAACAAGAAAAGCCACAGGACCTGATTATATCCCAGTAGAAATTTTAAAATTGCTGGAAGACAATGGGAATTTTTTTTTACTGCAGCTCTTCAATCAGATATATGAAACAGGAAAGATACCAAATGATTGGCTAAAATCAACCTTTGTGACAATCCCCCCCCAAAAAAAATAAATGCAAAGAAGTGTACCAAATACAGAACAATAAGCTTAATGGGTCATGCCCTGAAAATATTCCTGAGAATAATTCACACAAGAATATACAATAACATTGAAGAGTGTCTAGGTAACACACAATTTGGTTTCAGAAACAATCTTGGTACACAAGATGCTCTGTTCAGCATTCAGGTTCTTGTACAGCATTGTAGAGATGTCAGTCACAGTGTTTGCATGTGCTTCATTGATTTCGAAAAAGCTTTTGATAAAATAAGACACAGCAAACTATTAGAAATCCTGAAACAAGGGGACTAGATGACAAAGACATCCAAATAATAAAGAATCTGTATTGGCAACGGTGTATTGGATCAATACCGTCTTCCATCCAAATAACCATAAGGATAAACTGAGGGAGGGAAACATATTCAGAGATGCAAGATCCTGTCCCTATTGCTGTTGCAATAAAAGTCATCCTGACCTTTCTGGCAATGACCTACCTGGTAGGGCTGACATATTCTCAGTTTAATTTTTTTCTTTGGGGGGGGAATGATCTGAATGAACTTCCTTCTGGAAAAGGATCATATTATCTGCTCCAATCATTTATGGCTGCATAGTATAGGTAGTCCTCGAGTTAACGACCACAATTGACCCTCAAATTTCTGTTGCTGAGACATTTGTTAAGTGAGTTTTGCCCCATTTTATGATGTTTCTCACCATAGTTCTGCTTAGCTCGTGGAATCGCAGGCAATGCAAGTTAGTCATGATGCAGGAGTCAACCACAAACAGGATTCACTTTGTCTAGCTTGTTCCCTGAAGATTTCTCTTTTTTGTTATATATTTAAACTATCTGCATCATCACCAGTACCTTTTTTCTTTGCTTCCTGATGCCAAACAGGATAATGTGCCAGCTTCCAACAGCCTTGAAGAAAGAGCTGATGTCACAGCCCACTGGTGGGGCGAATGGACCAAGTGGGCGGCCTGCACTCGGACATGCGGTGGAGGAATCCGCTTCCAAGAAAGGCACTGCCTGCAACAGAGGTAACCTTTGGTGGCTTTGTCCATCCATCATGATTCACTCTAGCTATGTGCAGCCTCTTCCTAAATGTGCATTTGAGGTTCAGAGCATGTTTGCATTCAGAAGCAGTTGGAATGATGCTGTGTGGGTCTGTGCTGTCTTTGCTGTTACGCAGCCTTTGGGTCCATCCCAAGCACAAAAGAGACAAAATGGGAAACCTTGTGTTAGGCCAGCCAACCCATCACCTGCTCCTGCCACATCTGGGGGTCATGCCCTCTAAAACTCCTGGCTGCACAAAAAGGTTCTGGTCACAGGTAGTCTGCCCCATAGCCAGAATGGGCAAGTAATGAGACAGAAATAGGAAAAGGAGGAGGCCAAATCAAAAACTCTGGCCATGCTAATGAGAGCAAGCAAACAAATGAGATTTTCTGAAGCTGAATGGTTAATGATAGTGAGCCGCTTGGTTTAGGTTTAGGTTTAGGCTTCCAGAAACCATTGCCAGAAAGTTGGGTTTCAGCTTGGCCAGGAAGTGCACACCAGGTCTCGTGATGATAAGGTTGGCAAAACTTTGTCTCTGCCTTTGCTGTCCTCACTGACAGCCATCCAGTGGCCCTGATTCGGTGAGCCTGCTGGGTTGGGAGCCGCTGTGGAGACTATTCAGCTACATGGCAGATGGAAGTCTCAGACTCTGAAGGGCCAGAGGGGCCGCCTGGGGCTACCCTGTGGGACGGGTCTGAGATGGGCTGCTGAGCAAGCAGACAAGGCTCGCTGCATTGCAGGTCAGCCATAGGTTATGGACTGGGCCCTCCTGGGCTGTGGGGCAGCTGGGGAGAGGAGCCAGTTGGGCCCCCAGACAGTGGGTTAGCCTCTCTGACAGAGGGAGAGGCGCCACCTGCCTTGGTGGGGGGGACCCCCTCTTTAATTAGGAGGCTGCTGTCCTGGACCCAGCAGCTTTCAATCACTGCCAGCCAGTCCTCAATCTCGCCTTTGCTGAAGGAGGGAACGGATGACCTCAACCCATTTGGGTCCAGTTTCAGGTGGGATTGAGGATCTCATCCCCCATGGCATCCTTCTGAGTCCATCAGGTGCTGGCCTTCTCCTCTGTAGATAGATACAGGTGTAGCTTATAGGTGTAGCCTGGGGCCTGGTTCCTTGTGGCATGGCCTGTTTCTGTAGGGTCCACCGGCTGATTCAGGCTGGCTGCATTGCAGGATTGGTGTGCCCTGGCCTCCTTCTGTTGGGAGCCTGGTCTGTGGAGCAGAGCCTCCCTGTCAACTGTCCAGTTGGCATTTCCAGAAAAAGAAACTCCTGGAACATTACCAAGAGTATAAAACTTTACTGAAAGAATTACATTGGCATAGAAGAAGCAAAACCAGCTCTTGGGTCTCCTGCGCAAAAACAAGCATAATTAATTCCCCCTTTCCCTATGGGCCCCCCACAGTCCATTACGTCCACCAATCACTTCTGTTCATATTGTTATGAGAAAACAGCCAGCCACCCTCAGGTTATCCTAGAAAATGCCAGCAATGTCTCGGTTGTATTCCATCCCACCTCCTCCCTTTTCTTTGTCAAGCTACAAGTGAATAGGCATAGAGGTGAAAGTGCAAATCAGTCTTGACACTCCCTCTGGAACAGGGCCCAGGTGCCCCGCTGGCCTTGGGAAGCCTTGAAGGACTGTGTCTCTCCTGGTTCAGGCTTAGGAATGAGCAGAACCCTCCTTTGGATCATGTGGACTTGGTTTTTCATTCCTGCCTGGTTTTCCTCATTCTTGTTGTTCTTTTTTCTCATCTTTTTTTCTTTGTTGCTGTAAACGAAAGCAGAGGAGAAAAAAGTGTAATGGTGAGCCTTTGGGAGTCAGGTGGAAAATAAATTTAAACACATGAAAGAGCAAGTTCTTTTTCCATTTATGGGCTGCAGAGGAAGAGAATTCTGAAAGCAAAATGTTAATTTGGCCTTTATTGTTATTAATACGTTTGTGGTGTTTCTTCTTGAATACAGCAATTTAGATAACAGTGCTGCATCTTGGCTATTTAAGGATAAGAGGGCTGGGAGTTTTCTTGCAGGACCTCTGAGTCTTTTAAAACCTGGGATTCTCGTACAGCGAAAGCACCAACTCAATTTTACATCTTAAGAAGACAGAACTCTTGGAATGTCTCTTCCAACAGGAATCTTTATTAAGAGAAACTGATTGCAGGCATGCTAGACAGGATCTGGGGAATCCTCTCCCACCATTCAATGTTTTAAAGTGTTCCCAAGCAGCCCCCACCCCACAGTTCTTCCGGGCGATTCAATCCATTAGTCCACTCCGTCGGCACGATCACTCGTTCTCTCCTTTTCCAGATTTCAGGCGTTGCATTTCCCCCCCCCCCTTTCCCTCACTGCCGGCAAAGGGGAGAACTTCAGAGAGTGTAGGATGAAAGGCGATGGCCACATTGTTATGGTTAGTCCTTTCGAAGAGAATCAACACGCAGTCACTTTGTAGTTAATGAAGGAAGTGGGAGTCATAAAACACCTATGCTTACCCTCCTCCCCTTCCGTAGTATGACAGAATCCAGAAGAGAGTAAGAATTGGTTTTATATCAGAGTAGGTAGATAGAAATGAAATATAATTGGATTCTGACACTGGGGCTGTGTTTGCAGGATAAAATAAGACATCTTCTCCAACAAGTAATTAGATTGAAAAACACTTTAACAGGAATGTATTTTTAGTCTTGAAATAGTTTTATGTAACTGCTAGAAGTATAAAAGTGGGAGGTGAGCCCCCATGCAATATTTCATGAGACTGCACCTGTTAACAGGCAGCGTGAGTATTGCTATTGCTGTCCTTTTTTATTTAAATTGATTTAATAAAAATTGAAAATCATACCATCTGTCCTTTTATATTTAGAAGGAAGTTGGCGACCGGATTTCTTAATAAAACCTGCAATGGGATGTCTAAAAGATATCAACTGTGTGAAGTGCAGGTAAGAGGGTTCTTTTTTGTGTTCCTTGCAAGATAGATGGGGTGGGGGGAGGCCTCAAGTGGGATCTCCTGGAAACAAGGAAGAAATTTGGCCAGCAAAAGTTCCATCAGTAAGAGTAAAGTCAATCCTCGATTTACAACCAGCATTGGAGTCAGAATTTCATTAAGCGATGCAATCTTTAAGTGGGTCATGCCTAATTTTATGATCTATTTTATGATCTTTTTTGCTGCTATTGCTACAGTTGTTAAGTGAGTCAAGCGGTTATTAAACAAATTTGGCTTCCCCCATGACTTTGCTTGTTAGAAGGGCCCTGGGTGTTCTGACCCGACTTCCCAAACACAACAGATGTACCAATAATTCTCCAACGTTCTTTTTATTCAGGAAAGCCAGCAGTTTCACACAGCCGCCTGTTAACGTTTTTAGTTGCCTTCAAACAATGGAGCTCACTCCCTTTTCCCCTGCATGGGTCTCCCAAAACCCAGAGTTAATTTCAGTCTCTCACCACGCTTGCAGCAAGAGTCTTTCAGGCAAGCTGGCTCTTTTCCAACACGCACATGCTCAGAAGGTGCTACAACTCCCAGTGCCACAGGGTCCAAGGAAAACTCCAGCAAGTTTACAAACTAGGATCAGGAGTTTCAAATAGAAGTTGCTGATGGCAGGGAGACAAATAGTTGTCTGCCACACCTATTTGTCTCTGCCCCTGCCTTTTATCCACAGCTGAGGGTGGGGCTCTGTTAGCAGCGGTGACTCTTCTGCCCCGAAGACCGGCCCATAGCCTCTCGCTGTTCTCCTCAGCCTACGTCACACCTGCGCATGAATCACTGGCCCCATGGGATCCTCCTCTCCTGACTCACTTGCCTCAAGGCATGGAGGTCTCAGCCTTTCCATTGGAGGGCTGGCGGATGGCCCAGGCTCCACCTCTGTCCCTGGCTGCCACAGCTCCATTCCTTCGTAAGAGCTTTCAGTTGGCCCTGACTCTGGGCCTGGTGCCCATTCCTGTGCTTCTTCCTCTGAGTCAGCAGTGGAATTCTCCGGCAGCCAATAGGCCGCAACCCTGGAAGGTCACAAATGGCGATCATGTGACCCCAGGATGCTGCAATTGTAAATACATGCTGGATGCCAAGTACCTGAATTTTGGTCAGGTGACCACAGGGATGCTGCACCAGTCTTATGTGCAAGGCCGATCTGTAAGTCACTGTCAGACCTGTCCTGGTTTGATCTAAGGAAATAAAACTCTCAATTCCATTTGGTTGAAGTGAAAAGGTACTGACTGCAGAAATGTCAAGCGGAATCTGAAATTCCCATGCACCGATACAGAACTAAAACCCCTGGTTTCCCCTAGCCCTCCTCCTGTGGTCCACCTGTGTGTAGGCACCACAGCACCACTGAGATGTTTTGGGAAACGCTGAGATTTTTGTGCTGGTGATATTCCATCCTCTGGGTAGATGGCCTTGAAGATGCCAGCCCTAGCATGAACTGGATTCCAAACCTCTCTGTTCTTTCTCACATGTCAATTTCCCCTCCCAATTTCCCATCATAAAAGTATACAACTTTATTGCCAGCAAGGTTCCAAGCCAAAGTTGGTGAATCTGACATGCTGCACCCCCTTGACAAGGAGGTCAGTCCTGCAAAACAAACAAAAAGACACAACAAAAGAGAGACAGAAACAAAGCAGGTGTACGGTTAGAATAGGGAACTATTTTGGGTTATTAGGATATTAATTGTGGAAGCATTTGAGGAGCTTGATCACCTTAACATGCTTGATGTCCACCCATTCAGTTTCTGAGGGAGGAAAGTCTTTTCCCACAACTAAGTACTGGAGCTTTCTTCCTCAATCATGAGTGGCTCTGGTGGCAGTGGTGGTATCACAAATTTCTGACTTCAGTAGACTACAATGGAAAATCGGGTGAATGCACCTAGGAGATTTTGGTAGTTCGAGTTCGACTGTGACCGGGTTGATGATCCTTTTGATGGGGAAAGGATCTTTGAGTGAGGGGTTCTTGCCGGCCGCCTTGAAAGAGGCGGTGGTGAGGCCCCTCCTCCAACCGCTACACCCCACCGCGGGGAGGCAGAACCGGAAGTGACAAAATGGTTCCGCCCCAGGCGCCTGATGGACCCCGAGAGGTTCCAGATGGAGCTTGGGCCAATACCTGAGACCCTGACCCGTGGCTCGACTGAGGACCTGGTGGCCGCCTGGAATAGTGCGGCCGTGGGGGCCCTGGACCGGGTCGTGCCTTTGCGGCCTCTCACCCGATGCCGGACTACCTTGGCTCCTTGGTTTTCCGAGGAGCTGAGGGTGATGAAGCGTCGGAAGACATGCCTAGAGGGTGTTTGGAGGACCACCCGCTCCGAATCTGACCGGACACTGGTAAAGTCCCATTTAAGGACTTACCTAGTGGCGATAAGAGCGGCAAAATGAAACTATTTCTCCGCTCTAATCGCGTCTGCAGGTAACCGACCTGCCGCCCTGTTTAGGGTGTCCCGCTCCCTCCTTCATCAGAGGGTCTGGGACGCCCCCCTGCAGGGTCGGGCAGAGGAATTTGGGTGTTACCTGCATGACAAAATCGATCAGATCCGGGACGGGTTGGCCTCCGATTGGACTAGTTCAGACGGGCCAACGGAGGCAGGTCTTGAGTCCACTTTCTGGGAAGAGTTTGATCCTGTGACCCCCGAGGACATGGACAGGATACTGGGATGGCTGAACACCACCACATGTTTACTGGACCCGTGTCCCTCCTGGCTGATACTGGCCTCCCGGGAGGTTACACGAGGCTGGCTCCAGGGAATCGTCAGCGCTTCTCTGAGTGAGGGGTTCTTACCGGCCGCCTTGAAAGAGGCGGTGGTGAGGCCCCTCCTCAAGAAGCCCTCCCTGCTGGGCCGACAAAACCGGTTGATCCGTCCTGTCTCCAACCTTCGCTTTCTTGCGAAGGTTGTTGAGAGTGTGGTGGCACGACAGCTCCCTCAGCACCTGGAAGAAACTGTCTATCTAGACTCGCGCCAGTCCGGCTTCCGGCCTGGGCACAGCACGGAAACGGCATTGGTCGCGTTGGTTGATGATCTCTGGAGGGCTCAGGATAGAGGCTGCTCCTCTATCCTGGTCCTGTTAGATCTCTCAGCAGCTTTCGATACCATCGACCATGGTATCTTGTTGCACCGGTTAGAGGGGTTGGGTTTGGGGGGCACCGTCTTACAGTGGTTCTCCTACCTCTCGGACCGGTCGCAATTTGTGTTGGCAGGGGGGCAGAGGTTGACCTCGAGATACCTCACTTGTGGGGTACCGCAGGGGTCGGTCCTCTCGCCTCTCCTGTTCAACATCTATATGAAGCCACTGGGTGAGATCATCCGTGGTTTCGGGGTGGAGTTTCATCAGTACGCAGATGACACCCAGTTGTACATCTCCACCCCGGACCACCCCAACGATGCCGCAGAAGTGATGTCCCGGTGCCTGGAGGCCGTGTGAGTCTGGATGGGGAGGAACAGGCTTTGACTCAACCCGTCCAAGACCGAGTGGCTGTGGTTTCCGGCGTCACGACATAGCCAATTGGCTCCATCCCTGGCTATCGGGGGCGAGTCATTAGCCCCCGCGGAGAGGGCCCGCAACTTGGGCGTCCTCCTGGATACTCGGCTGTCTTTAGACGACCATATGACAGCCGTGGCCAGGGGGGCTTTTCATCAGGTTCGCCTGATACGCCAGTTGCGCCCCTTTCTGGATCATGACACTCTACGCACGGTCACTCAAGCCCTCGTTGTTTCCCGCCTGGACTATTGCAACGCTCTCTACATGGGGCTCCCCTTGAGGTGCACCTGGAGGCTCCAGCTAGTTCAGAATGCGGCCGCGCGGGGGATCCTGGGGGCCTCTAGATACTCCCATGTAACACCTCTCCTGCGCGAGCTGCACTGGCTGCCTGTGGCCTTCCGNACCCCCAGGGGGAGAGCCTTCTCTGTGGCAGCTCCTGCCCTCTGGAATGACCTACCCCCCGACCTACGTACAGTTGCGGACCTGCGCCTTTTTCGCCGAGCCCTGAAGGCCCATCTATTCCGTGCGGCCGGCCTGGCGTAGTTTGATTATGTTTTAGTGGGGTTTTTTGTATGGGTGTGTTTTTAGAACAGGCCCGTTACTTAATTTGATTTTAGAACTGCCTATATTTATCATGGTTTTTATTATCGCCTGCTCACCGCCCTGAGTCCCGTAAGGGAGATAGGGCGGTATATAAATTCAATAAATAAATATAAATAAATAAGAAGCCCTCCCTGGACCCGGCTGTTTTGGCCAACTACCATCCTGTTTCCAACCTTCGCTTTCTTGCGAAGGTTGTTGAGAGTGTGGTGGCACGACAGCTCCCTCAGCACCTGGAAGAAACTGTCTATCTAGACTCGCGCCAGTCCGGCTTCCGGCCTGGGCACAGCACAGAAACGGCATTGGTCACGTTGGTTGATGATCTCTTGAGGGCTCGCGATAGAGGCTGTTCCTCTATCCTGGTCCTGCTAGACCTCTCAGCGGCTTTTGATACCATCGACCATGGTATCTTGTTGCACCGGTTAGAGGGGTTGGGTTTGGGGGGCACCGTTTTACGGTGGTTCTCCTCCTGCCTCTCGGACCGGTCACAATTTGTGTTGGCAGGGGGGCAGAGGTCGACCTTGAGGTGCCTCACTTGAGGGGTACCACAGGGGTCGGTCCTCTTGCCTCCTGTTCAACATTTATATGAAGCCACTGGGTGAGATCATCCGTGGTTTCGGGGTGGAGTTTCATCAGTATGCAGATGACACCCAGCTGTACATCTTCACCCCGGACCACCCCAACGATGCCGCGGAAGTGATGTCCCGGTGCCTGGAGGCCGTGCGAGTCTGGATGGGGAGGAACAGGCTTCGACTCAACCCGTCCAAGACCGAGTGGATGTGGTTTCCGGCGTCACGACATAGCAAGTTGGTTCTCTGGCTATCGGGGGCGAGTCATTAGCCCCCGCGGAGAGGGCCCGCAACCTGGGCATCCTCCTGGATAC